CTAAAAAAGATTATTTATTTATTTATTTGACAGACAGAGATCACACGTAGGCAGAGAGGCAGGCAGAGAAAGAGGAAGGGAGGCAGGCTCCCCGCTGAGCAGAGAGCCCCACGTGGGGCTTGATCCTAGGACCTGGGATCATGACCAGAGCCAAAGGCAGAGGCTTTAGCCCACTGAGCCACCCAGGCGCCCCTATTTTTCCTTTTGTTGCCTTTGATTTCTGTGTCAAATCCAAAAAATCTTTGCCAAGAAGGACATCAAGGAGCTGATTGCCTACTGTTTTCTTCGGAGTTTTATGGTTTCAGGTGTTACATTCAAGTCTTTCATCCACTTAGAGCTGTTTTTTGTGTATGGTGTAAGCAGTCCAGTGTCATTCTTTCATGTTTGGCCGTCCAGTTTCCCCGACATCATTTACTGGAGAGACTGTCCTTTCCCCATTGTATGTTCTTGGCTCTTTTCTTGTAAATTAATTGATCTAAGATATGTGGGTTTTTTTCCTGGGCTTTTTATTCTGTTCAACTGATCTATGTGTCTGTTTTGATTTCTATGGTTTTTTAATTACAATGGCTTTGTAATATAGTTTGAAAACAAGGAGAGAGATGCCTCCAGCTCTGTTCTTCTTTCTCAAGATGGTTTTGGTTATTTGGGGTCTTTTGTGATTCCATACAAATATTAGGGTTGTTCTATTTCTATGAAAAATGCTGTTGGAATTTTGATAAGGATTCCTCAATCTGTAGATCACTTTGTGTAGCATGGACATTTTCATAGTTTTTTTTTTTTGGACAGACAGAGATCACAAGTAGGCAGAGAGGCAGCAGAGACAGAGAAAGGGAAGCAGGCTCCCTGCTGAGCAGAAAGCTCAGTGCGGGGCTGGATCCTAGGACTCTGGGATCATGACCTGAGCTGAAGGCGGAGGCTTAACCCACTGAGCCACCCAGGTGCCCTGACATTTTCATAGTATTAATAATTCCAATCCATGAGCATGGAATACTTATTTATTTATTTGTGTCTTCTTCAGTTTCTTTCGTCAGTATCTTACAGTTTTCAGAGTACAGGGTTAAATTTATTCCTAGGTATTTTATTCTTTTCAATGCAGCTGTAAATGAGATTGTTTTCTTTTTTTTTTATTTATTTTATTTTATTTTTTTTTTAAATTTTTTTTTTTTAAATTTTTATTTATTTATTTGACAGACAGAGATCACAAGTAGGCAGAGAGGCAGGCAGAGAAGGAGGAGGAAGCAGTCTCCCCGCCGAGCAGGGAGGCTGATGCGGGGCTCGATCCCAGGACTCTGGGATCATGACCCGAGCTGAAGGCAGAGGCTTTAACCCACTGAGCCACCCAGGCGCCCCGAGATTGTTTTCTTAATTTCTCTGATAGTTCATTATTAATGTATAGAAATGCAACATATTTTTGTATATTGATTTTATATCCTGCTACTTTACTGAGATTGTTTATCAGTTCAAACAGTTTTTTTTGGTTAAGTCCTTAACCCTAAAGATAATTATATATGATGTACATAATATCGTGTTTTCGGCAAATAGTGGTAATTGTACTTCTTCGTCTCTTCGCCTTTTATTTCTTTTGCTTGCCTAATTACCCTGCCTAGGACTTTAAATACTATGTTGAACAGAAGTGGTGAAAGCATGTATCCTTGTCTTGTTCTTGATCTCCGAGAAGAGTTTTCAATCTTTCACTGCTCAATATGGTGTTAGCTCTGAGTTTTTAATACATGACCTTTATTATGTTAGATATTGCATTTTTAAAAGGAGTATCTTTTTGCTGTATAACCTTTGGTGAGTTACACTGGACAATGTGATTGGGCATGTTTATGATGGGAAACAAAATACGGAGCACATTTTTGTTTAGATAACATCAAGGTCCAGGAGTCAATTTAATAAAAGGACCGTCCTGACCCATATTAGAGACTCCTGAGGCTAAACTGAAAACTTCACAATGTACAATGTGCATGTTCACAAGACAGATGTATAAAGGAGTAGTGATTGGTATTGAGGGAATGGATTCAGGAAGGCAGAAGCCAGGAACATTCTGATAAATGCTTGTTCTCTGCTCCAGGGAGAAAGGGGGAGTCAACCATGCCATGGTGCATTTTGGTCTAAAATAGTTGTAAGAACAAAAAGCTGGAAAATGATCAGGGAATCTCCATTTCCCTGGCCTCAGTTAGATTCTAGATTGCACTCCTGTCCTCCCTCCTTTTCCTCATCCTCTCATGCGTTCCTAGGACAAGAGGACTGGTTTGCCTGATTGAGGGTTAGGTAGAAGGGGCTGGGCATCTTAGCTCAGCCCTTCTGCTCCCATTTCCCAAGGTGTCTGTCTAGAGGGCATTCATGCCTGTGCCCTGCTCTGAAGGCTGAGGACATGTGGATATCCAAGAATGCCTGTGACCCCACAGGTAAGGCCATAAGTGTTCAGGGGTGAAATGCAAGTCCCTCTAGATGCTCCTTTAAGCCATGTTTTCCAATCAGCATGTTAACAGCACAGACATTTTGATTTCTGTTAAGTTTTCGATTTATATCTGTCTTTCTCCATTGATCACAGACTTAGGAGAGACAGGAGTATTATTTTGGCTTTCTAAATTCTCAATACTGTGGAACAGTATGTAGCAGTTAAAAAGAACTAAATGGCTCCATATATATACAAATGGGATGATGTATTGATAAAAGAAATCTTTTTAAAAGATTTTTAATTTTTAATTTTTAAAAGATTTCATTGTTAAGTAATGTCTACACCCAACGTAGGGCTCGAACACACAACCCTGAGATCAAGAGTCACATGCTCTTCTGGCTGAGCCAGTCAGGCACCTACTAAAGACTTTTTAAAAAAGATTTTATTTATTTATTTGAGAGAGAGAATGAGCAGGGGGAAGGAAAGAGAGAGAAGCCGACTCCCTGCTGAGCAGGGAGCCAGATGCAGAGATCCGTCCCAGGATCCTGAGATCATGACCTGAGCTGAAGGCAGCTGCTTAACTAGCTTAGCCCCCCAGGTGCCCCACCCCTAAAGATTTTCTTAAGTAATCTGTATACCCAATATGGGCCTCAAACTCATAACCCTGAGATCAAGAGTCACATGCTTCACGAGGTGCCCTGATAATAGTCTTCTTGTTAATTTTAAAAAACAAGCTGCAAAAGAAGATGGGTACAGTATGAACTTATTTGTTTTTTTTGAAAAGTATGTATATACATTTATATATATATATATATATACACATATATATGTATGTATGTATTTCTCTATGTATATTTACATATGTAAATACATATAGAAAGTTCTGGGAGGACTTACTCCAAACTAATAACAATGGCTTCTGTATGGTATCTTTGATTTTTTTTTGACAATAGAATATATCTGCCTAATCAATAGTTAAAAATTAAGTCTTGCAGGTGAGTAGAATGTCTGGTTGAAAACCAGCTTGTTTTGAAGTTTCAAAGGCCTTTTTCCTATTACTTTCCAGTTGTGAGGTTTCCCCTAACTAGGGCGGTGGGGAGGGAGTAGACCTGCAAGCCTGGTGGAGCCCAGGGGCCACAGGGTGAATGCAAGCTGTGTCCCTAAGAGCAGATTCTGGGGTCCATAATGAGGGGTCCAGACACCACAAAGGAGCGGGGAAGCTGGGCAGGCAGCCCTGGAATTGAAGTAGGTGCTGGTGGAGCCGAAGGCCCACACTGAACTTGGGACTTGATTTTTATTGGGCGCTTTCTGTGATATGCACTCGCAGTTTGGCCTGGTTTAGTGTATTGAGCTGGGCTAGGCGAGAAATGTGCGTTTAAGGGCTGCTAAATATCTGCATTTGTAAAGTATCAAAGTACCCAAATATTTCAGGTGTGTGCCATCAATTGTGTGGCTATCACCAGAGCTGATGTCCTTACCTATAAAACAGTCCTGATGTGTCTTTGAAGAGGATTCTGTACCTGCAGATCTGTCCCTGAAAAAGCTCTGTGCCAGTGTTGAGTGGTGAAACCAAGAATACGAAAACGGATTTTCTTCTAAGGTAAATTGTAGTTTACCTTTTAACCACCAGGGGGCGAGCGCATTTCGGTTAGAGACCTGGCTTGGGGCTGGGCAGGAGCCAAGGGGGATAATTACCTTCAGGTGTGGAGGACTCTGAAGCCTCTAGCTGGAGGCCATAGAAATGAACACTTCAGTCGTCCAAATGGATTATGTCTTTTTGACTATTGGTTCTGCCTATGGTTACTGGCTCTAACTCAGGTTTAAAAAGACACTGCTTTAACGAATTTCGTTTAACTCTTGATTATCCCAGGGTTCACTAGAGAACTCCCCAGCTGGTTGCTTCTTCTTTCTTACGTGTTTAGGCCTTTTGCAAATAGGCAGAAATTTGAATGGGAGAGGAAACGACCTGTTGTCCTCATTTTTGTCATCAAAGACTAAATCACAGAAAAAGACCCATTCCCTGTAAACAGAAAGAAAAGAGAAAACAGCACAGAATTCCAAAGGGCAATGTTCCATCTTTTGTTTGTCTCTTTTGTTTAGTTTTAAGGTTGTGAGCAGATGGCCTCGCTCCATCAGTAACACATGAAGTCAGAGCTTAGCTGGAGATTTAGCTGGAGATTCTGGAGGGCAGGCTACGCTAATAGCTCAGCCCCTCTCCCTGGGGCACTGGTTTTCTAAGTATAGTCTGCCTAGTCCATCTGAACCACCTGGGGGAAGGAGGTTTATAAAAACGTTCTGGGCTGCGTCCCAAACGACTGAATCAGAATCTAGATCTCGGAATCCGCCTTTTAAATAAGTTGCCCATTTGATTTCTTATGAATGAACATACATTACTTTTGTGATATGAGGTAAGCCTCCCGGCGTGAAGTTAAGAGGGGAGATGTGGCAGCAGGGTTATTTCTGTGTTAGGTTATAAGGACCTTACACTGAGGTAAAGGTCACATGTCCCAGGAAGCCCCCCCCCCCCCCCCCCCCCGTGGAAAGCAAAGTGGCAGGAAGCTGGGCCTGAGGATGGAAAGGAAAGGCTGCGAGTCTCTAGGAGATAGACTGGTGTGTCAACTGGGAGCCTCCTGGAAGGAGACTGGGAATTAGTGGACACCACAGGAAGTCGCTTTAAAGCATCCCTGAGGACTCCTTGTTCTCCCTGCCACTCAGAAGTCCCCAGAAATCCCAGCACAATACCCAACAATATTTTGATATTGGTATCATCAGCAGAGTACCTGTGGAAAGTTCCTGTTGCCCCCAAGTATCTTCCCTACTTTGGAAAATCTCCTCACTTAATCACACTTTCTGGAATTTCACCTTGTATAGCTTTGTTTGTGTGGGATCTGTGCTTTGTTTTTAAATCTCTTTTCAAGTGCAAATCCTCTTGGGGACATGAAGCTTCTATTCACACACTGGAGGGAATTTTCTTATTACTTCTTGTAATAAGAAGTCATTCTCTCACACTGAGAAGAAAAAGAAACATTTTTATTGAATTGAGAGGAAGGGGTAATTTTAGAGCTGGGGAAATTTGAATGAACGACGGGAGAAGAGGAATAAAACATTGATTCCAGGGACATTCTAAGCAGGGAAAATGGCAAGGGCTGATTCTGGTCCTTGTAGGGCTTCAAACCCGAGGATATTTCTGGCCAGAAGAAAGAAGAAATAGTGAGTACTTGTACCAAGAATGAACTCTTAGTCTGCAAGCTCCAGAATGGAAGACATAGAACTTTCATGATGTTTCTATGTCACCCCAATTTCTATTTTGCCTCCCTGTACCTATCTACTGACTAGGTTATGTTATGACAACAGCCTCCAAATCTCAGTGGCTTACCAAAATGGAGGCTTGTTTCTTCTTTATGTCACATGTCCAGGTCAGCAAAGGGACTCTACATGTGCTTGTCACCTAGGGATCCAGGCTGAAGAACTCCCCTTTACGAGGCCTTCCGCCATTAGATCTCCAGGGTCTAGCACATATTAATACAGTCACAGAATATATATTAATCGAATGGATGGAATACAGAATAAGTAAATAAATTAGATGGAAATTTCTCATTCGGGTCACAGGCATTCAATTCAGCCTTAAATGTGTTTGATACAAAGAACATCCTCCAGTCAATGTTTGTAGACCTGGGAAGAAGAAGTCTTACCAACAGGAAAAGAAGCAGCTGAGGAAACGTTTTAGTCATGCAACCATACAGGAGGAGAGGGGAGACAGGCCTAATTCCATTTTTATTTCTTTAAATTATTGAATGTATTAAACAAAGTTATATAAGCACATGACCCTTTTTTTTTTTAAATTAAATTCGACAGTGTTGTACACTTACTCTTGTGCACCAGGAAAATACTCTGCTAGACAAAGGCGGCCTCTCTGGTTCTGTTTTCAGGTTATTTCCTCTCTGTGTCTGTTATGCTCACACTGCTGTTTTTTGGTTTATCAACTTTAGACACTATCTCTTAACTTCCTGTTGTGAACGATAAGGATTTAGCCTGCCCACACTACTCTCCTGGTGGAAGTATATTGTCATTTTTAGTTCTTCTAGTGGTTACTGTTTTAACATTAAATACTAGACATGCATATCTCTTTCCTGTTCCAATGATTTTAGGCAGTATCTTCATGACTTTATTAAAAGTCAAAAAAACTTGCCTTTCCCTAAATTCTCTCTCCATGTTCTCCTTCCCAATTCCTGACATCTGTCATTTGTTTTCACATTGTTCAGGCTGGTAAGGTTTATATTCTGTATGGAAACCATAATTTGTTGCTCCAAACTTTGTCTAGCTTGATTCTAAAAGGTCAAAGTCTCCGGGGGAGGAGAGGAATGAGGAAAGAGATGTGGGAGGTCCCCTGACCCAAAGCCTGACCCCAATGGGCCCACTTAGACCAATAAGGAGCTTTATTTGAGGCCTCCGGAAGTGAGTGGGAGCTGAGTTATTACCTGTCGTTACCACACTCTGGACTAGGGCAGCGGCGCCTCAAGAACTTCTCAATAGTGCCCAGCACCAACGTTGTGGCAACTGGTGACTCCGGTCCATCCCTACACCTCTGCTCAGACCCTATTTGTCTAACCATATACAAGGCTAACCCTCAAAAATTAACATCCTGAGGCATCAATGAACCTGCAAAAAAGGAGCCTTAAAACTCATCAGGAGCAATCCTCAACACCAGTCCTGAGATCCGAGGGGCCACAAAGACTCCCCAGCCTAAGGCTCCCCATGCAGCCACCCACGGGCTGGAGCAGGGGGTACACATCGTCGCCCCTTCTACAGACCTCAGCAGACGCCCTGTTTTCCTCCTTACTTCTCCATCTGCCTCTGTCATACCCACAGAATGTTGGGAGGCAATTCTCCAGGGCATTTCCACACTGTTTATGACAGCTTTTGTCTGTTATTTGCATAGCAAACATCCTTGGAAGCTAGCGGTAAGGTCTCTCTCTGGGTCAGAAGTCAGTTTTGTTTCCTGACCAATATAATGAAGATACCGCCTTCCTCTGGGGCATGAAGGTTGGGTGGGGGGGGTGTTTTGCCATCAGTTCCTTTATAAGATTGGGGGTTTCTCAGCTGCGATATGGACTCTGTGTGGGTGCTGTTCACCCCAGAAGGCTACATGTCACCCTCCCGGGGCTTGGGGGCAGGTGATCTGCTGCAAACTTGGGGCTCATGCTGCCGGCCGTGCTGTGAGTAATAGACTACATCTGCTTGGGCTGGTTGTTTCCTTACTGTCCATGACCATATGGAGATTCAGTGGACGTGGGGGCAGCTGAGTGGCTCTGTTGGTTAGGCGTCTGCCTTCCACTCAGGCCATGATCCTGGGACTGTGGGATCGGAGGGCTCTCTACTCAGCAGGGAGCCTGCTTCTCCCTCTCCCTTTGCCTGCCACTCCCCTTGCTTATGCGCGCGCTCTCTCTGTTAAATAAATAAATAAAATCTTAAAAAAAGAAGTCAGCCGACTTAGCAGCTGCTGAGTCATTGCTGTTTAGGGACAGCTTGGTCACTTGTCGCAGACCCTCAGAAGGGGTTCAATTTTCTTCCTGGGAGTTAGACCTTCCCCGTGTATTCAAGGCAGTGGCTTCCTCTGTTCTCATGCCTGCCTCTGAGATCCCTCTGCTGCCATCCCTCGGTCTTTCTTTTCCGACAGTCAGTCGGATGAGGTGTCCGGTGTGGTCAGCGATGGATTATTAATGCATATGCTCCGGTTACCTGGGTGGACCAGAACCTCCATTTCCAATTCAATGTAGACAGAAGAAATAATGCAGAGAGATCTTTTTGAGATTTTCAGGAGCCTTGAATCACACAACATTCAACTAGTATATTGCAAAACATATTGAACCATGAAAAAGGGGTATTTGCTGATTCCAAAATCTCTCTTTTTTTGCATCGTTCCTCAGATTTTCACTATAGGGATCAGCAGAACTTTTTTTTTCCCCCCAGCAGAACCTTTAGAAGATGAAAGGCTAAGTGGTATTTCTCAGCCATGTGAAGAAGGAGAGGCCAGGGAGACGTGACATCCTCCACTGGAAATGTTGGAGGTTGCCTCTGTGGATTGTTTTTCAGAACACCATTCACATATTTCTGTTCGCAGAGGCTGGGGAAACCTTTAGTTACCATAGCCCTGTGCAGCTACGGCTCCCCAGAGCACTCATCCCCTGAGACTTCAAGGTTGAACTGAGGCCCTGGCCGAGGTTTAGGAGACTGTGCTTTCTGGGAAACATCCTAGTTTTTGAGGTTTTCGATTCTTCTGGAACAACAGTGGTGGGGTTTCTGTTGTTTATATCTGCTGTCATGGGCATGGTTATGGCTAAGTTATACAGCATCTTTGTATTAACAAGAAAAAGACACCTCGTGTAGCCTAAAGCACTTTAATTCCAAGTGTAAAAAAAAGTTGTCATTAGGGGATGCCTGGATGGCTCAGTCAGTTAAGCATTTGCCTTCTGTTCGGGTTGTGATCCCGGGGTCCTGGGATTGAGCCCCCTGTTGGGCTCCCTGCTCAATGGGAAGCCTGCTTATTCCACTTCCTCTGTCTTCCCCCTCGTGCTCTCTCTCTCTTGCATGTGTGCTCTCTCTCAAATAAATAGAAAAAATATTTTAAAAAATTGTCATCAGGACACTGATGTCTTAGAATAAGACACCATCTGCTGGAATTGTAATAATCTAAGATGCCTGCTGAATGAAGAGCACACAGCCTGGGATTCTCAGGAGAATCCAGATTGTGATGCTGAGTGGCCTGCAGTGGCGATAGTGAGGTTATTGTCAGTTTGCTAGGATGCTTCCCTAATCTGAGGCTGGTTTCCTCCGTGGTCCTCTTGGAAATGCATCAGTCTACCTGATACTTTTAATTAATCCCTTTCTGCCTAAACCAGCTAGAGAGGTTTCTTGTCAGCCACTCACAACTCTTACCAATACAGACAGAAAACAGAGAAGGTAGCAGCAGTGAGGAGAGGGGCAACACAAAATGAATCTTTGGGGTGTGTAGGGAGGAAAAGAAGGTCTCTGGAAGAGAGACACGGTCTTCCACTTAGCTGTTAGGAAGACAGAGTGACTTCCCTGAAAAGGACTGGTAATCCCTTACATATATTGAGGAAGGTTATAAGTTCAATAGAGGAGAAAAAATATATTTATTTGAAAAATGAATGCACTAGATATTTTTAAATCAGCAAAATATCCCTTTACATAATGCCTTACGCTTTCCAATGTACTAGTTAAGTGATTTTGACATAAATAAACATGTGATCCCGTTGGTTTACCCCTGGGTTGGAAAGGAAGTGGCTGTCTGATCCCCATCATAAACCGATAGGCTGATGAAGTCCAGACACCAGGTCTGGAAGGATGTCCATTAGAGGGTTCCCTGGGCGGAGGGGGTGGCTGCTGGGGACCTGGGGTGGCCTCTGTCCTGTTTCATCAACTCCCCTCCTGGTTTTCCTCAATGCTGTGGAAAATCTCAGCTTAGCACTCTTTGAGCCAGATTGTTTCTTCTTCCCTTGCTATCCACTTTTTGATTATCTTATTTCTGGTCATAGTGAGGTGGGGGAAGGGCCAGGGCCTTGATTTTGTCGTCAGTGTAAAGACTGTAATTTCATCTCTAGCTGTGTCTTCTGCTTGCAGACGGAAAACATATGGGCCCCTAAAAGATAGCAATGAGACCTCTTGCCCTCATTTCCTGCACCCGCCTCCCCCTTGGATTTCTTTCTTTCTTTTTTTTTTTAAAACATTTTTTCTTTTTAAACATTTATTTATTCTTTCTTTTTTCTTTTTTTTTCTTTCTTTTTTAAACATTTATTTATTTGAGAGAAAGGGAAAGCATGCATGCCACACCTGCAAACACACACACACACACACACACACACACACACACACAGGTGGGGGGAGGGGCAGACGGAGAGACTCTTCAAGTAGACGCCGTGCTGAACACAGAGCCAGACACAGGACTCGATCCCAAGACCCGTAAGATCATGACCTGAGCCAAAACCAAAAGTTGGATGTTCAACCATCTGTGCCACCCAGGCGCCCCTACCTCCTTGGATTTCTTATCTCATCTGCCTCTCTACCACAGCTCTTCCTTCTCTTAACCCCTTTTGCCCTCTTTCTCAGTTTGAATTCAGTGCCCCAGCCTCATCTGGTTCTTTCTGGATAGATCCAGGGCTTTGGGCCAGGAGGATCCTGGGCAAGAGGGCAAGAGAGGCCTGTGGGAGGGACTTCCCTTGGGAAGCAGCAGAGGAAGGTAGCCAAACCTTTGACACTCTGCAGTTTAATGAATCTTTAGATTATTATGTCAAGGAGCATGGCTGTCTCCTGTTGTCCTAATCTATTTTGTGTTCAACCCAGGAGGAGGAAGGGTACCGGAGGGAAAAAACCACCCCTTTCCTGCCACATATAAAATATTGCAGATGTTAGCTGGTGATTACAAAGACGGTGAAGCAGGCCAAGAAACTGTTGGGGGAGGGGGTTCGCCGAACTGACTGTTCAGGACAGATGCTCTGGAGGATTGCATTACAGAGAGGGAGGCTGTCGGTGCCGTTCCTCCGCCCTGCTCCAGGGGGCAGGCAGCTATTTCAAGCCTGTGGGAGAGAGGGAGTCTGCGCTATTTGCCTTTGGGAGGCATTTCACTTTATTCCTCGTCTTGGAAAAGGATACCCACTTCTGCATTCTGTGGGTGCCTTTTTTATGAAGTGTTACTCGGAGATTCAAAATAAGGAACGGTGGTAGACTGGGCATGTGTGGATTTTGCCTCTTCTCTCCCCCCGCCCCCCTTGCCCCTGCCAAGATTTTACTTATTTATCTAGAGAGAGAGCAAGCACATGAATGAGCTGGGGGGTAGAGGAAGGGCCAGAGGGAGAGAGAGAATCTCAGGCAGGCTCCATGCTCAGAGCAGAGCCCTGTGCAGGGCTCGATTCCAGGACCCTGAGATCACAACCTGAGCTGAAATCAAGAGTCGGATGCTTAACCGACTGAGCCACCCAGGTGTCCCATGGATTTAGCCCCTTCTATAGCCATTCCCCCTTCGTGGGGCCACAGCCCTACGATTTTGTGTGGGGAACACCTTTCTTCACTCTCAGTTTCCATAATCGGTGACACTGAACCCCACCTGACCTGCCCCTATTCCAAGCTGGCGCTTACACCCACCGAAGCCATCTGCCACAGCGAATATACTGGGGTGTCCATGTGACTTAAGTTGGGATGGTGAGAGTCAGCCCCAGGACTTTGCTGTCACTTTGTGAAAGTGGGGTTTGCCTTCTGCCGCGGGGGCTGAACGGATGGACTCTAAGTCTGGTGTGGCTCCTGGCTTTCTTTGTGAGAGCTTGCTGGAGAATGAAGGCCCGTATGAGACATTCAGTCATTGAGAGAACGTTCCTGAGAACCTTGTCTGAGTGTCTGCATCCAGCTGCAGCTGAAGCTGATCCTGCCCCAGGACTTTACCTAACCGGCGCCTGGAAGTCTTCCCTCCTCCCCTTGATAGGCACATTTTGCATCTGAGTGTCTGTCACTTGCAATGGACAGGGCCCTACCTACTCCACGTGGCTCCAGAAAGCTCAGTAGTCCATCATGGTTGCCATATTGGGCAGAACAAAATGAGGGCTGCCCTGCCTTTGCCTCTAATGCTGCTCTCACGGTGGAAGAAGCTGGCAAGCTGCTTTCCAGGTCATATTTAACTCAGAGGGCACAGCTGCCTCCGAGAAAGATTGCCAGCCAGGAGTCGCAGCCAGAACTCAGCCAAACCATCAACACGCTCAGTTCTGAGCTATTGTACGCCAAGGACACCCATTGACAAAAATGAAAGCACATAATAGAGGTCTGACATGAGTTCAGAAAGCCCAAGTTCCACTTGTACCCATGTGGAAAAAAAATTGTTCTCAGACCCTCTGGAAGAGACAGCTCTTGGCTCACGCTCACTGACATAAGCTGATGTGAAATGTTCCTTGAGTAGAAGCCAGCAGCTGGGAAGGGTAGGGGCAATTGGAAAGGAGAGGCTGCTTTAATATTTGTTTATCCTGCAAATTTTTTTTTAAAGATTTTATTTATTTGACAGACAGAGATCACAAGTAGGCAGAGAGGCTGGCAGAGAGGGCGGGGGGTGGGGGGAAAGGCTCCTTGCAAAGCGGAGAGCCCAATGCGGGGCTCGATTCCAGGACCCCGGGATCATGACCTGAGCCGAAGGCAGAGGCTTTAATCCACTGAGCCA